TAAACCAAGTTTTCCCCTTACATCTTCTAATGTGCAGTTTGACAAATCACATAAGTGACTAAAACACAAACTGAATACAATCCAAACAACGTTAAATGATCGATGAGGAGGCAGAGGTAGAAGTATTAGGATGAATTTGGTGACTTTAAGTGTGTTTATTAAAAAAAATATGTGTGTATATATAAATATATATACATATGCACATATATATTTGCTGTAGCTTTTCTGAATTAATATCAGCTAAATTAGAATGGTGTGTGGAAGGATGTGTTCCCTCCCCCATTTGTTTTGCATTTCCCAGAGATGTAATAAAATATACATATTTTATGAAATGGGCTTGGCTTTGTCTCTTTCTTTAATTAATGCTAACTCCTCTTAGATGTCCAAAAATTAGTCTGTTTGAGAGGACTATGTGCTACATGGGACCCCTCAATGCTGCTTAGCATTCCTTCTACTGATTCCTGGGTAGTTTCCTATTCTGGTCTCCAGGAGAGGTTTTACAGACCTCTTATTCTGAAGTCTCCTATACCAGCCAAAGATGACTATGTCTCCTATTATACAGAGAGAAAAATAAGTTATTAGACATAGTCTTTCCCAACTTTTCCCCATCTATCTTCAAGACTTATCTCGTTTCAGCCATACATCCCCCTTTTCTAAAGCTGATGCTTCCTGATCTCCTTCCCGTCTTTTCTAGTGCCATATTCCATCCAGTTTAATTTTCAGTCTTTTGTTTCTCTTTTAATTGATTTCTTTTCCTCAGTCTCTAACAGCTTCATATCCTCTGTATCAGTAGCAAAACCCTTTCCCTAACTCCCTCTTCCTCTTGAGCTATCTTTTCTTTCTCCTTCCTATGATTTCCAGACTTCATAAAACAGTAGTTAATGTCACTTTCTTATGTCCTCAATTTCAATTCCTCTATAACTTGCTACACCTTGGCCTCTATGTTGTTGTTGTTAAGTCTCTAGGTTATATCTGACTCTGTGTGACCCCATAGACTGTAGTACACCAGATCTCCCGGAGTTTGCTTCACTATCTCCCAGAGTTTGCTCAAATTCATGTTCATTGAGTTAGTGATGCTATCGAATAATCTCATCCTCTGTACCTACTTGAATTTTCTGTAATGATTGACTTGTAACTACTCCCTCCTGAAATTCAGTCCTCCTTTTAGTGTTATTCCTGCTCCTCTTGTTACTCATTCTTCTCTTGTTCTGAATCCCTTACATGCTCAGGCTCCTCAGATTGCATTTCTTGTCTTTTCTCACTCTGTGTTCTCTCATTTCCATTCAACATACTTCACTGACTTTAAGCATCATTTGTATGTCCTTATTATTTATATTTCCGTATTTTTCCAGAAGTGTGTACCTATCTAATTATTACTCATATCTGTCTTATATCCAATATGTGCATGTGTGCTAAGTTGCTTCAGTCATGTCTGACTCTTTGCGACACTATGGACTGTAGCCCAGAGGGATTCTCCAGAAACCCTGGGGTTCTCCTGGCAAGAATACTGGAGTGAGTTGCCAGGCCCTCCTCCAGGGGTTCTTCCCTACCCAGGGATCAAACCCACATCTCTTCCGTCTCCTGCATTGGCAGGCAGGTTCTTTTACCACTAGCACCACCTGGAAAGCCCTGTATATCCCATAGAGATTCTCAATATCAATAGTTGTTCAGTCACTTAGTCGTATCCAACTCTTTGTGACCCCATGGACTGCAACACTCCGGGCTTCTTTGTCCTTCACCATCTCCCAGAGCCTGCTCAAACTCCTGTCCATTGAGTCATTGATGCCATCCAGCCATCTTATCCTCTGTCATCCCTTTCTACTCTTGTCTTCAATCTTTTCCAGCATCAGCATCTTTTCTAATGAGCTGGCTGTTCACATTAGGTGGCCAAAGTGTTGGAGCTTCAGAATTAGTCCCTCCAATGAACATTCAGGGTCGATTTCCTTTAGGATAGACTGGCTGGATCTCTTTGCAGTCCAAGAGAGTCTCAAGAGTCTTCTCCAACACCATAGTTCAAAAGCATCAATTCTTAGGCACTAAGTCTTCTTTATAGTCCAACTCTCACATCCATACATGACTACTGGAAAAACTATAGCTTTGACTAGATGGATCTTTGTGAGCAAAGTGATGTCTCTGCTTTTTAATAGGCAAGATCCATCTGCACTGAGAGAAACCTGGATTCGAGCCCTAGGTTGGGAAGATCCTATGGAGGCAGGCATGGCAACCCACTCCAGTATTCTTACCTGAAGAATCCACATGGACAGAGGAGGCTGGAAAGCTATAGTCCATGAGGTTGCAAACAGTTGGACATGACTGAGTGACTAATCACAGCACAGCACAGGTTTGTCATAGCTTTTCTTCCAAGGAGCAAGCATCTGTTAATTGCATGGCTGCAGTGACTTCGGAGCCCAAGAAAACAAAGTCTGTCACTGTTTCCATTGTTTCCCCATCTATTTGCCATGAACTCATGGGACCAGATGCCATGATCTTAAGTTTTCTGAATGTTGGGTTTTAAGCCAGCTCTTTTACTCTCCTCTTTCACCTTCATCAGTATGCTGTTTAGTTCCTCTTGGCTTTCTGCCATTAGGATGGTGTCATCTGCATATCTGAGGTTATTGATATTTCTCCCTGCAATCTTGATTCTAGCTTATGCTTCATCTAGCCCGGCATTTCACATGATGTACTCTGCATATAAGTTAAATAAGCAGGGTGACAATATACAGCCTTGACATACTCTTTTCCCAATTTGGAACCAGTCTGTTGTTCCACGTCTGGTTCTAACTGTTGCTTCCTGACCTGCATACAGGTTTCTCAGGAGGTCAGACTCTTCTGTCCATGGGATCCTTCAGGCATGAATACTGGAGTGGGTTGCCATTCCCTCCTCCAGTGGATTGAACCCAGGTCTACCTGCATCTTTTACATTGGCAGGTGAATTCTTTACCACTGAGCCACCTGGGAAGCCCCAATATCAAAAGACCTAAAATTAAATTGTCTCTATATCTCTCTCACTCCTTTGTTTCTCAAATCGATTCTACTTTCTCTAATCCTTACTCTCATTCAGGTCTTCATCATCACTTTCCTGGATTATTATATATGCTTCTGGTCAATCTGCTTGCCATCAGTCTTGCTTTCTGTCACTTAACATTGCATCCTGCTTATAAGTAACAGTAAACCAGTTAACTATAGCTGCTTAAATAAATGAGTCTGTTTAGAGTCTGGAATTGGTCCGTACAGAGTTGGTATAGTGACTCATTGGTGTCGTCAAGGATCTAGACATACTTCTCTTTCTACTATACTCTTTAGCATGTTGATTTGTAACCTCATGATCACAAAATGGCTCCTATACCTCTGGGAAACACACACACATTCAAAATAGGAAAAGGGGTTACAAAAAGCTGTACCAGATGCTTCTGACTCCCTCTTATCAGAGAATTAAATGATTTCTTAGACTCCCTCTCAAAAGACTTCTGTCTGTATCTTAACCAAAATTTGTCTTATAAGTCATATTTAAGATTGGCAAATTACATTTTTGTCTATGAAGAGAAAGGCAAGTGGTAAGGAATTTGGAATGGTGTTGAGTTTAAGTTAATATATAGTGTCTGCTACCCATCTATCAGATTATTATGACATAATTGTCTTCCTGAGATCTTCAGTGACTCAACATTGTCTACAGGATCAAATCAAGACCCATTAGCATGACATACAAGGCCTTCATATATGATCCCAGCTAAACTTTAACCTTCCTTCCCTCTCCCCAGCCACCCTACTATCAAGTATATTATATTGGGTTGGCAAAAATGTTGATTTGGATTTTTCCATAACACTGTACAGAAAAACTTGAGCAAACTTTTTGGCCTGCCCAGTATGTTATCTATAATACCACTTGCTTCATAAACATGCTTTGCTCTGTTATTACCTCTTTCTCTGCCTATGTTAGTGTCTCAGAATTGTTTTTGTCTCGTCACACTTCATTCCAACTTCCTACTTATTTTTCAAACCCATCCTTTCTCAGTTCCCCAAGGTAGGATTTAGATACTCTCCTGTACATTCTCTTACATTTGGTACTTATGGCTGTGATAGTTCACATAATTTATTATAAAACTAAAACTAGATTAGTATTTTTTTCATTTACAAGGTTCCTTGTGATATAACTGAATCATCTTTGTATAGCTTTTTTATTTTATTTTTATTTTTTTCCCATTTATTTTTATTAGTTGGAGGCTAATTACTTTACAACATTGCAGTGGTTTTTGTCATACATTGAAATGAATCAGCCATGGATTTACATGTATTCCCCATCCCGGTCCCCCCTCCTGTATAGCTTTTTTAATGGGCTTACCAGGTAGCTTAAATGGTAAAGGATCGGCCTGCAATGCAGGAGACCTGGGTTCGATCCCTAGGTTGGGAAGATCCCCTGGAGAAGGGCATGGCAACTTGCCCACTTCAGTATTCTTGCCTGGAGAATTCCACAAACAGAGAAGCCTGATGGGCTACAGTCCAGAAGGTCACAAAGAGGTAGACACAACTGATCAACTTTCACTTTCACTTCATAGATTTTATACCCATAATACATGGTACATAGTAAGAACTCACATGCTGTTTGTGATGTAGGGTGAAAAAATAATTATAATTCTATCAAAAGACTTATATCCTACTAGAAAGGATAGAAACATACACAGATACAGTGTGCTATGTAATATCTTCCCTAAGATAGTTACAACAAAAGTTGGTTTCTCAGAGATGGAATTTAGTTCCAAGATAAAGACAGAGATGGAATGTAATTCTGAGATGAAGTCAAGACAGTGGTCCTTGATCTGCTCAAGGTGGGCAGGCAGTTCATTTACTAGTTATTCATAGGTAAGTTTTTCATAACTTAGCTTTAGTATTTTATACTTTTATTTTTACTTCAAATCTGTTTGTGAGCAAATGTACAATATTTCATCAAATCCAAGACCTCTAAGGGAAAAGTGCTGTCAGTTGATCATAATACTTATCCAAATTTCAGATGTTACAATATGAAAATATAAGCATTTGAAATTTCATAGGATACAGTAAGTAAAAAAATAAATATCCTTAAGCCAAGTATAAGTTATTTTTGAATTATCTGCTCTTTTGGGTTATCAGCTCTTCTACTAACCATTAGTATGTTAATATGGATAATGGCAAGTTGTATCTACAAAATCTGTTTCAAAGATCTGCTGAAACCAGAGTTGTTCACTTGCTGTATTATACGATAGTCAAACTGCTGTTGGACTCAGGCGACATTCAGATGTTGGAGCCTATATTGGGACAAGTTGTTACATTCAGATGTTGGAGCCTACATTGGGACAAGTGATAAGTCACCTTTCACTTTTCCCCTGCCATGTCCATGAGTTCTTCTCTGTTAAACCTGAACAGATGCCAGCCCTCCTCGGAGGAAAGTTCTAAAGCCCCTCGATGAGTGTAGTAGTCGATAGAAGCCTGGTTCCAAGTGACGACAAGAAAGTGCATGCAGTTACACTGGCTTCTGATGGCTATCTGTTTAAAAACAAACAGGTGTTACTTTTATTTGAAAGTATAATCTTCATTGTCACATTTATTTTATGGAAGATCTACTATATGCAAGGCACTGTGTGTGTGTAAAATACTTCCAAATAATAATGCAATATTTATCACTTGGAGTTCTCTAAATTTGTAAAAAGAATAAAAGTCCTGTTGAGTTTTAAAACCCTTTCTTTAGAAGTCCAAAACAAACTTGCAAAATCTATTCATTGGTTTTTCTGTAAATCTAATTCAGTTTTTTTCTTTATTCTACAGAAAAAGTTTACCTATATGTATTTCCAAAATGCAAAAGAATCTTTTTATACTGTTCTCATGTTCATACTGTAGACACATTTTATGGGTAAATTACCTTCTAATCTCCCTTTTACTTGCTTCTGCTTTATAGCAAAAAGGTATATAATGTGGTTGTGGATTATATCAACTTTTAAACATAAGTCAAACAATAGCTGTATCAATATCTTAATTTGAAAACCAGTTTAATTGGAATAAAAAATTATATTTTGAGATTATGTTCCAATGTTAAGATAAAGTATCTAATTTATGCAATGTTAAATAATAACATTTGATGAAGAAAAGGATAACATATAGAATAACAATACTAACTGCAATATATACCTGACTTAGCCTCTTCAGCATTTCAGCTCCAATACCTAGACCTTTTAAATAGGTAATACAAAATGAAAAAACATAAGTTGAAAAATTCCACTTAACAATTTGCTTGCTTTAGTTTAAACCTTGTTATCTGGTTGTTATGTATTCATAATAGCTTGTGTTGAAATTCAGCTCATGAATGTTTTTCATATCTCTTTTTCCGAATTGGAATATGGTTCCAAAGGTAATTGAAAAGGCTTTGGATTTATTTTAAAGAACAGTGAAGAGGAAATGAGCCCTTGTCGCTCTCATCTTATCATGGAATATATCTCTTATTCATTTTAGACAAATCAACACAAAATGTAAAAGCATGTTTTAGAGATAAAAGTATAGCTTTTAAAAAAAGAAACAAAACAAAAAAAAAAAGATAAAAGTATAGTTTTGATAACTTGGCTTATTCAAGCCTTGATGGGAACTAATAAATCTTTTCTAATCTGTGATTGAGTCTTCACCATACCATATGCAAGGATAACTAGGATAGTGATCAGTCTCATGAAATAGGAATTAGTTACATAAATTAAACACCATATTTATACTAAAACTCCTTAAAATATACCATTTTAATTTTTAAAATATAAGTAATACTATGTGTTACCTGACCTCGGTAAGCTTGTATGACATAAAAGTCCTCTAGGTATAGTAACTTGCCAATCCAGGGGTCATATGTGAAGTAGTACATTACTAATCCAACAGTCACTTTACCTAGGAAGAGGAAAGAGGGGGTATAAAGAAGTTAATACTTTGAATCTTACAATGTTCTTTCCTCCAAAATGGAATATCTTTGTGTTTATTTTTATCTATTAAAGTAATAAAAGCTTGCTGGACAAAATTTTAAATAATACAGAAATGTATAATAAAGAAGGTTTAAGTCTTTATAATACAACATTTAAGAGATAACCCATGTTTTAACAGTGTGGAGTATATTCTTCCTAATTTTTTTCTGTGCATATACAAACATAAATGCATGTGTGTTGTGTGCTAAGTCACTTCAGTTTTGTCCAACTCTTTGCAACGCCATGGACTGTAGCCCACCAGGCTCCTCTGTCCATGGGATTCTCCAGGCAAGAATACTGGAGTGGGTTGTCATATCCTTGTCCAGGGGATCTTCCTGACCCAGGATTGAACCCGTTTCTCATGTCTCATGCATTGGCAGGCTGGTTTTTTACCACTAGTGCCACCTGCGAAGTCCAACAAATGCATACCACACATTTTCTCTTTCAGGAAGCAAGACTTAGTTTATGTACTTACACTCATCTCCTTGGCTTAAGAGTAACTGTATGCTATCAAACTGTACTTTGTCTTTAGGGTAGAGAAAATATACCCCTAATTAAATTGAAAAATGGAAGTTTATTTTACCTGATGGTTTCTGATGATTGTGTACTTCTGCAATCAGACAATAGAAAAGGGGATTGTCCCCAAAGCCATCCCTGAGTAAATCTGAAGTATCAATTCACATAAAATAGATTAGAAAGTTTAGAGTAAAGAGAAGGAAGATAGTGCAGTTGGCAATGCCAGAATTCCTTTCTTCACCTGTACAACAATTGTACAGGCGTAAACTGCCTGAAGTGAATATTTTGGAACTATAGTTTATTTTAATACCTGTACTTGCAGCTTCCAGAGGACAGTTTGACTGATAAATGTCAGTTAATTTTGGTGAAATTCAACCATCAGCCTAGTGGTGGCTTCCAACTACCCCCACCCACTCGATCATCAACAAACACTTTTAAACAACTGTCTTAAATGTGCTCAAAGAGCTAAAGGGAGACATGCACACAGGAAAAATATGTATAAACAAAGTAAAGATACCAATAAAGAAATAGAAATTATAAAAAATTATCCCCACCAAAAAATTCTGAAGCTGAAAAGTGTAATAAAAGTGCACTGCAGGGGTTTAAAATCCAAATTTCTAAGCAAGCTGAAAAAAGAATCAGTGAACTTAAAGACAGGATAATTAAAATTATCAAGTCTGAAGAACAAGAAAAGTAAAAAGCCTAAGATATCTGTGGAACACCATCAAGCAGACCAACATATGTATTATGGAACTCTCAGAAGGAAAAGAGAGAAAGTAAGGAAAAAAGAACATTTGAATAATGACTGAAAACTTCCCAAAATGGATGCAATAAATCATTTTACAAATCCAAGTTCAACAAACTCCAAGTAGTATAAGCCCCAAAAGATCAATACCAAGACACATAATTAAAGAGAAAATCTTCAAAGCAGCAAGACAGAAATAACTTGTCACATACAATGGATCCTCAATAGGATTATCATCTGATTTCTAATCAGAAACCTTGGCAGCCAGTAGAGAGGACAGGGGAGGAGAGGAAGAGTGCAGAAACTTAACCAAGATTTCTATATCCACCAAAAAAATCCTTCAAAATGAGGGAGAAATTAAAATATGTCCAGTTCTCCCCCAAACTCAAAAAAAAAAAAAAAAAAAGCTGAGGAAATTCATTATCACTAGGCTTGCCCTGCACAAAATGGAGTCCTTCAGGTTGCAATGGAAGGAAAATAGGCAATAACTCAAAGTCATATGAAGAAATAAAGATAATGGTGCCTAGTTAAAGGTAAATATATGGGCAATTATAAAAAAAACTAGTGTCACTTTAAATTTATTTATAGTTCTACTTTTTATTTTCTACATGATTTAAAAGACAGTGCATAAAACTAGACATTAATGTTTGTTCTTGGGCACACAATGTATAAAGATGTAATCTGTGACATCAATGACGTTAAAAGGGGGAATGGAGATAGATAAGGGAAGAGTTTTTGTATGCTATTGACATTAAGCTAATATAAATTCAACTTTTACTATTACAACTTTTGGATGTTATTGAGTTGGCCAAAAGCTCATTTGAGTTTTTCCATAAAACCTGAACAAATATTTTTGGCCAACCTAATAAATGTAATCCCCATGATAACATCAAAGAAAATATCTATAGAATATACACCTAAGGAAATGAGAAGGGAGTCAAAACATTTTACTGAAAAAATAAAAAGAAGGTAGAAATGTGGAAATGAAAGACAAAAAACTACATAGAATACAAATGGGAAAATCTCAGAAGTCCCTCCTTGTTGGTAATTACTTTAAATATAAGTGGATTAAATGCCCTAATCAAAAGACAAAGATAAGCAGAATGGATTTAAAAAAAAAGCATGATCCAACTATATGCTATCTATAAGAGACACTGACTATTAAAAAGGTCATGTCCAACTCTTTGTGACCCCATGGGCTGTAGCCCACCAGGCTCCTCTGTCCATGGAATTCTCCAGGCAAGAATACTGGAGTGGGTTGCCATTTCCTTCTCCAGGGGATGTTCCCAACCCAGGGATCAAACCCAGCTCTCCCACAATGTAGGCAGACTCTTTACCAACTGGGCCACCAGGGAAACCCTTATAAGAGACTCACTTTAGATTTAAAAAAACAAGAATATATAGTATTGATTGCTGTTGTTGTATGGCAGGAATCAACACAACATTGTAAAGCAATTGTCCTCCAATTAAAAATAAATTTATAGATTTCATATATATGCATTTATATGCAGTATTTGTCTTTCTGGCTTACTTCACTCTGTATAATATGCTCTATGCAAAGAACTCAAAGCTGGTGCTCTGTGATAACCTGGAGGGATGGGGTGGAGAGGGAGGAGGGAGAGGGATTCAAGAGGGAGGCATCACATATATGCCTATGGCTGATTCATGTTGATATGTGGCATAAGCCATCACAATAGTGTAAAGTAATTATCCACCAATTAAAATATTTTTTAAGAGAAAAACAATTTTAATAAGCACAAGAAGGTTGATAGTGAAAATGATGGAAAAAGACATTTCATGCAAATAGTAATCAAAAGAAAGCTGGAGTGGCTGTACTAATATAACACAAAATAGACTTTAAGTGGAAAACTGTTACAGGGGAGAAGGGTATTAAATAGTGATAGAAGGTTCAATTCAGCAAGAAGATATAACATTTATAAAAATTTATGCACCAAACATCAGAGCTCCCAAATATATGAAGCAAATATTGAGAGAATATGAAGCAAATATTGAGAACCTCATGACATCAATTTCAATAATGTGATGAACAACCAGAACAATGATAAATACATTAATATTGATAGATCATATGAACAAAACTATAGAACAACTGGACCCCTAACAGAAATAGTGCACCCCACCCAAAAACATAATACACATTTTTCTTGAACTTTCTCTAGGATAGACCATATGTTAGGCCAAAAAGCAAGTGTTAATACATTTTGAAAGATCAAAACCATACAGAGTATCTTTTCCAATCACAATAGATTGAAACTAGAAATCAACAGAAGGAAACTAGGAAATTCACAAATATGTGGAAATTAACAATGCACTCAAAAAACTAATGGCTCAAAGTAGAAGTAAAAAGAGAAATTAGGAAAAAAGAGATGAATGAGAAGGAAAATGCAACATATAAAACTTATGACCATTACAATATACTAACACATATATATGGAATTTAGAAAGATGGTAATGATAACCCTATATGCAAAACAGAAAAAGAGACACAGATGTACAGAACAGACTTCTGGACTCTGTGGGAGAAGGCAAGGGTGGGATGTTTCAAGAGAACAGCATCGAAACATGTATATTATCTAGAGTGAAACAGATCACCAGCCTAGGTTGGATGCATGAGACAAGTTCTCGGGCCTCTTGCACTGGGAAGACCCAGAGGGAGCGGGTAGAGAGGGAGGTGGGAGGGGGGATCGGGATGGGGAATACATGTAAATCCATGGCTGATTCATGTCAATGTATGACAAAAACCACTACAATATTGTAATTAGCCTCCAACTAATAAAAATAAATGGAAAAAAAAAACTTATGAGATGCAGTGAAAGAAGTGCTCAGAGGGTAACTTATAGTTGGAAATGCCAACATTAAAGAAAAAAAGAAAATAAAGGCCTCAAGCAATAATTAATCTAACACCTTAGGAACCAGAACTAGCAGAAAGAAGGCAATAAAGATTAGAAAGGAGATTAAGCTAAATAGAAGATGGAAATGCAATAGAGAAAATCAATGGAACCAAAAATTGGTTATTTGAAAAGGTCAACAAATTTTTAGGTAGACTGACAAAGAAGAAAAAAAAAAGCCAAGTAATTAAAATCCACTGACCTTACAGAGATAAAAAATATTAAGTACTGTGAATTGTACACCAACAAATTAGATAGCCAAAAAGAACAGATTCCTTGAAACTTATGAATTCAAGAAGAAATAAAATCTAAGCAGCCCTATAACAAAAGTTTGAATCAATAATAATAAAAAATCTCCCAACAAAGCAAAGTCAGGGACCACCAGATGGTTTCACTGGGGAATTCTACCAAACATTTAGAGAATTAACACCAATACTTCTCAAACTCTGTCCCAAAAATTGAAGAGGAGGGAACTTTTTCTAACTCATTTTATGAAGTCAGCATTATTCTGATACCAAATACAGAAAAAGACATCACAAGAAAATCAAAGACCAATATCCCTTATTAATACAGATGCAAAAGTACTCAACAAAATATTAATAGCAAATTGAACCCAACAGTATATTAATAGGACCATTCACTATGATCAAAATCCTAGGGATGAAAGGATGGTTCAATATAAGGAAATCAATCGTGTTAACAGAACAAAGGGGGGAAAAGCACAGAACCATCTCAATTGTTACAGAAAAGGCAACTGAC